CAGGTAAAATGCCCTGCCTTTGTGGAACTTATATTCTAGCAGGGGATATGGGTAGTAAATGAACAAATCAGTGAGGTATGTAGCATGTTATAGAGTGGTAGGGACCAAGGAGGAACAATAAAGCAAGGAAGGAGTGTGAAGCATCAGTGCGTGCACGCACATGTATATGTACTGTGCATGTGTACACACGTGTGCATGTGTATGCACACACCTGTATATGTACTGTGCATGTGTATGTATGCATGTGTGTGCACGTGTATGTTAGCTATAGTAGCCAGAGAAGGCCTTCCTGAATGACAGATGGAGTGAAGCGAGGGAGTGGGCCATTCAAGTATTTGCCGTGAGCACAGGACAGGAGGTGGAGTGTGTCGGATGTGTGGGAAGGGATTCAGAAAAGATGAGATCAGAGAGGAAAGGGTGGGCAACCCACAGAGGGCCTGAGAAGTGGTGATAAATGCTCCCCTGAGTAAGAGGGGGAGTCATGGAGAGATCAGCTCAGAAGAGTGACATGGACTGACTTAGGTTTTTAAAAGATGCTCTGGCTGCTGTGTGGAGAATAGATGGGAGGGCAAGAACAGAAGTAAGGAGACTGTTATCAGAATATTGCAACAATCTAGCTGAGAGATGGTGGTGGTGGGAGTGATGGCGGCGGAGGAGGTGACGAGACAGGTTGAATTCCGCCGAGCCTGCAGGATTTCTGACAGATTGGATGCGAGAGAGAAAAAGAGGAGGCAGGGACGCCTCCAAGGTTTCGATCTGAACAGTTGAAAGGATGAGGTGGCCTTTTATCCGTCTTCCTAGTTAACTCGTTCATCGGTCATCAGAGAGAAAAGGGTAGATGGATATACACCAAGATGTTGTTAGTGATTATATTTCACTGATAAGAAATGGTTTTTAAAGTATTTTATATTTTTGAAAGCAAAGACGATTTTGTTATTATTGATATTATTTTAGGACTTTCAGGCATGGCAAGGGTGTGCTCAATGAGTGAGGTCAAAACACTTCCTACCTGGTTGGATTCTGTATTAGTCAGCATTTGCTGCATAACAAACAATCCCAGAATCTTAAAGTAGTATTTCCTTCTCACTTTCAGATATGTGAGCTGGCTGGAGGTCAGGTTCAGGTTTAGTCATTCTGGGGTCCAGGCTAGATGGGCTGTGGCATGCTATGATGGTAGATGTTGGGAGTTCTCAGAGGAGTGAAACATCCAATGCCTCTTAATGTCTAGGCTGGGGACCGGTACCTTGTGGCTTCAGCCCTCATCCTATTGGCCAAAGCAAGTCACGTGGACAAGAACGTTATCAATGAGGCCACAAACTATACTCTGCTGAGAGTAGAGAGGAAATAAATATGTACTGAACAGTAATCTAATCGACTATAACTTGCCTTTGATCTTATTCTTTATAGTAATTTTTATTGAGGTTCTTTTAAAGTGTTATTACAAATTTTATGTTTATTGTTGAAACTTTTAACAATCCAGAAAAGCATAATCGATCAAATTAAAATTCCTTTTTATTCCACCACCTAGAGATAAATACTGTTACTATTTTGTTGAATATCCATTCATAGTAGAAAATTCATGTACACCCAAGACTGGTGTTGGCAGTGGCATTCAGACAATAATTGGCATTCAGACAACAACGGCCATGCGGTGTTAGGTTTGGCTTTGGCTTTTGGAAGGTCAAAGAGAAAAATGCCTTTTTTATAGTTACTTCTGGCATTCCTAAAACTGTATGTCACCAGTGGTTCCATAATCGGGGAGGTTTCTGTCCATTTAATCAATAAAACACAAGGCATGTTTCTCACCTTCTACATGGAACTTGGAGGTTTTTAAAAAAAATCTCTTTATTGCTTTAGATATTGAAATTGTATTGATCAGCTTAAAAATAAATGTAGTATTTATTGCATGGATAACATGCTACAGAGAGCTTTTAAGATCATATCTCAGGAACCAGCAGCCCAGCCTGTCGAATCAGGAAAGCTGGGATGGCATGGTGCCTCAAATCTGGAAGAATTTAGCAACTTTGTAGTGGGGAAAAACACACACGCACACAGAGATTGTGAAAGCTACTGACTTTATGTGCAATAAAGTTGTTAAAGATTCTCAAATAACGTCACAGAAAATAATTCATATGAATATTGAGCGAGATGGTAGTAAGTAGAGACTTTAGGAAGACCTAAATTTGAGTCAACAAATGTTTTAGTACAATTTTAATACAAGGTAGAGCTAAATATATTAGATTATATAATAATCCTGAAATTTGTGTAATATTTTGGTGTGCTGCCATTCATCTCATTAAATAAAATAATTTTTAAGAACTAAATTGATTTGGTTAATGTCATTTAGCATATGAAGCTTTCAACATAACAGCCTACTTGAGAGCTTTTCACATCTTGTGAGGATCAATTAAAAGCAGAAAGTCAGCTTTTCCACTTCAAAATTTCACTGGGAGGAAAAACTCCAAAACCATGTACCAAACCATCCATGAAAATTTTTTCTACCCTGGATGGGACCCAGCATGTGGGGGTCTGGAAACACTTTTCAGAGCATGGCTCTGAAAATTTTGTGCCTTATGTCAAAATTCCATCCTCCTCCTATACCACAGATGAAAAAATATTTGCACTGGAAAGAAAAATGAACAAATATGGAAACTGAGTCTGGCCCTTGGGGCAGGCCTTGGGTTGGGGGAGCCCTGCCCATTTCTGGGAGGAAAGTTTCGGAGGGTTCCCCACTCCCTATGGAGGCACTGCCCTTCACAGCTTGGAAAATGATTTCCCATCTGGTATCTCAATTGTCCTGAAATTTTTGAGAAAGGGCCTTCTGCCAGCCCCATTTTACAGATGAAGAAACTGAGGCTCATAGAGGCCAAACTAGCAAATAGCCAAGGCACAACCCAAACCTCGTGTCCTGACTGCACATGTTGTGCCCTTTCTGGGTCCCCCCTCTTGGCCAGGTCACCCCCCTCTATGTACCTCTTCTGCACCCCCATCCCACCCCACCCCACCCCACACCCCTCCTGCAGCTCTTTGCAGGTCATCTTTGTGCCAGAAAACCCAAGATCTTCAATCAAATCATAACCAAGACAGTAAATAAAACCTATGGAGAAATCAGGGCAAGGTCACCCCCTACAGATCACCCACCCATGCAACAGGTTAGAAGGCAAATTATAATGCTTTCAAGAAAAGCATTCCGTAAATAGTCTGTGTCATACAATTTAGCGAAAAACAGGAAGGTGGTAAGTGCTGGGCACACACGTGAATGGGCTATGCATAGATTAGGGTGTGAGGAATCTTCCCTGAAATCATTCTGGGGTATTTTGGGAGAAGGAGAAGAATTTCCCAGCACCCACCCTGCAGATCAATGACCAGACCATCATGTCTCTTTTCTGGTTGGTGCTAATGACCTCTGGGCACCTAGTAAGTACCCTAACTTAAAAATGTTTTTGATGCCCCTCCCCTCTGAACTGCCACCTGATCCTTGCCTTCATTACCCTCCTCATTCAGGGCCAGGTGTCCCTGGAGGCTGCTGGGACAGTTACTCAACCATTCTGAGCACCTACTCTGAGCCCAGCCCTTGTGATTGACAGGTATCATTTGGAAGTAGTCAGTAGTATCATCCCCATTGTGCAGATGAGCAATTACCCAAGTCCACCACCTAACTGTGCAGTGCAACATGTTTGCGATAGGAACCATTTCCCCTCCATGTCTCTGTCCTCCACGGTCAGTAACACCCCTCCCACCTATTCAGTTCAAGCTGCCTGCCTCCTCTGTTTGCTTCGTGCTGATTTCCAAAAGCCACGACTCCATAAGGAGATTAAGCTGGAAGCCTAAAAATCCCAGAGGAAAGGAATGTTTCAGAGGGAAAGACATCAAGAACGGAGGCACAGGTCATGATTTAGCCACTGATGTGTTTTGTTGATCTTAAAGGCTATTTTTCAATTAAGAACCAATTGCTACTGTTTAAAAATCAGGAAAATTTGCACCCAAGTCTGAATTTCTGGATTTTCTTGAAAATTCAGGTGGTCCATCCATATGGTCTCACATTCTTACATGGCAGCCAACCAGCTGGAATTGAGCTTTGGCCCTTCTTTTAGAGAGGGCCTGTGGTCACCCCTTTTCACAGACCTCACCACCCCCTACTGTCTTACTATAATAGGCTCACTCTTTTACAGCTCACTCTTTTACAGCCGCTGCCTGATCTATGAGTTATGACCCTGATCAAAAGACAGGGGAATCCACCCTGAGACTAGACAAGCATTCTCCTAGGAATTGAGAAAGGTTTAAAGAACTAAATCAAGTGCCAGCCGAGAGGTTTAGTTGGTTAAGAACGCAAGCTCTGAGCAACAGGGTAATTGGTTCGATCCCCACATGAGCCAGTGAGCTGTGCCTGAGCTGAGCTGCTGCTGAGCTGCCAACAGGATGGCTTAGCTGGTGAGAGCACATGCTCCTAACAACAAGGTTGCTGGTTTGACTCCCGCATGGGATGGTGGGCTATGCCCACCTGCAACTAAGATTGAAAACAGCACCTTGAGCTGAGTGGCCACGAGTTGCCGATGGGAGGCCGGATGGTGACTGGACTTGGAGCTGAGCTAGCTGCACCCTCCACAACTAAGACTGAAGAACAACAACTTGGCTGTTCCCCTCCCCCAATTCCCCAATTGAAAAAAACAAAAACCAAAAAACAAAAACTAAATTTCATTCTTAAAAATTATTTTATTTAATGAGATGAATGGCAGCACACCAAAATATTACACAAATTCCAGGATTATTACATAATTTAATATATTGAACGCACCTATTAAAATTTTACTAAAACATTTGTTGACATCTCTTGGGGTCCCGAGAGAGGGAACTGGATCTGAAGGGAACACAAGGACAGATTTCAGCAGCGATGTGCTAATTAGCGTCTAACAACATGCTCTCAAGGAAAAAACTGTGCGTGTGTGTGTGTGTAAATGTTACTGGGATGAGGTGTGTATTTGCAGCACAAAATCTACACCTTTACAAATAATAATGAACACTTTATTGAAGACACACTTTGTTATAAATTCCATCAGCCAATTCATTCTTACAGAATGTTTTTTTTTTATTTTTTTGCCTAAGTCTTGTACACAAAACCAACAATTATCGCAATTGAGCCATGACAGGACAAAATAAGACTATGAATAAATATTCGATAACAATACGACTCAGCAAGAAGTCGCTCACAAGGGTAGTTCTGACGATGTGAGTGCTGGCTGAAATTTCTGTTTACGTTAATGAGTCAAAAGAAAGTAAAACAGTGAATATGGATATCAGACCCCCTTCATCAATGACATAAGCAGCTTGCTTGCTGAACTTGATAACAGTGTTCAAATCCTGGAACAACCGTCCCTCCATTTTTTTGCACCACTTACAATGTATCAGCTGTAGACATGACAGACATACTTTTAAGTTTAATTTGCATTATTAACATTTTATCCATCTCATTCTTTAGACTGGAAAATCAACAAAACAATAAATCAAGCCCTGATGTGTAATGTCCCCCAATCTCTGTGGTGCAAACACACTCCCCAAGGCCAGTGTCGAGCGACTAACATGATGACATCCTGAACGTGCAATGGGGAAGAAACATTCACCTCTTCCCTATGTCCCGCCAAAGATACAACAGATGTAAATCACCTCAAGAGCACAGACAATTGTAAAATATGGTCAAATAAGGAAGTGATGAGTTTTTAGTATTTGCTACCTTTGTTTTCAATATAATTTATTTAATTATAAGTTTAAGTAACGTAATTTCTTTTGGAGTCTGTGTTTAACAGCCAGCTTGCAAAAATCCTGAATATTTAACAATAAGCTCTCACAAGCCAGGACAAGTCAGCTCCAGCATACCCCTGGATATAAGGGACATTCCCCTACTTTCAGTGGTTCAACTTATGATGTTTTGACTTTAGGATGGTGTGAAAGCAATATGCATTCGGTCAGTAGAAACGTACTTTGAATTCTGATCTTTTCCTGGGCTAGTGATATACAGTATGATACTCTCGTGATGCTTAGCCCCAGCTCCCAGTCAGCCACTCGATCGTGAGGGTAGAAATGATATTGTCCAGTGTATTCGCATTTTTGGACAATTGTGTCCAACTGTAGGCTAAATACTGGAAGTGTTCTGAGCATGTTTCAGGGAGGCTAGGCTAAGTTGTGATGTTCGCTTGGTGAGATGTATTATATTCATTTTTTACTTTACGATGGGTTTATTGGGACATAACTCCATCATAAGTCCAGGAGCGTCTGTATCTCCAAATGCAAGGAGAGGAGAAGTTGAGGGACCGGAGTTCTGGGGGGCTGTGTCAACTCAGGTGCACAGGCACGGGTGACACAGCCTTGTCTGCTGCCAGCACCCTGGACCCATTCTAGCCCTTCATTCTCAGCATCCAGGAACTCCTTCTTGTAGTCCCTTCCTTTAGTGACCTCTGGCCTGAGCTACCTGCTTAGCGTCCCTCTGTCTCAGCTGTTGGGGGATGACCCTTTACAATGTCCCAAAGGTAGGGGACTGGGTACTGAGGGTGAACAGAACCTCCCGATGCCCCGACTAGCTGAGCGGGACCAGCTGCAGACCCTCCTAAAAGGAGACAGGGTTAAATACACCCCTGGGGGCATAATCACCCCCATTCTGCAGATGCGGAAACTGAGGCTGAGGGAGGTGTTACTTACCCAAGGTCAACTCCTGCCAAGAGGCAAAGGCAGCACCAACAGCCAGGTCTGTCGGCCTCCAAACCCAGCGCCTGGAGCTCGTTACATGCACCGGACGGCTCTTGGGTTGTAGTGCACACAGTTCTGGACTTCGAGTCACCTCTCCCCTAATAAAACTTACATCTCTCTAAGAGATGACTAATGACATGAGAGCAGGGCCCATGGTGAACACCTGTTAGATACCAGCATTGAGAATTCCAGCTCATTGGCATCAGAAGAGATCTTAGAAACAGCCTGGCCCAGGTCCCCCATTGCACATATGGGGAAAACGGAGGCCCGCGGTAACCCAGCAATGACCCCAGCAGAATCAGGACTAGAACTCAAGCCTCCCGTAAAGCAGGCTGAGTCGCTGGTGAATGGTAAATATTCTGGGGAAGAGAATGAGACCTAAGAGCCAAAAAGCTGGCTTCCCATTTGTCGAACAGTCCCAGCCAGATGGGAAAAGAGAGCAGAGAAGATGGTGTCTTCAGCTGGATTTATGGGTGACAGCAGGAGAGACTTCCTGCCAGGACTGGGACCCCACAGTTTCTTTGAGAAAGTCCAGGGAGCAGTGGAAACTCCATATGAGGTTCGCATAAGAACTGCAGAGATGTATGAGTCAATGGGGAAACTGAGGCAAGAAGGCAGACCCTCAGGAACCCTCCAAGCCTGAGACTCAAAATGAAAACTTTTGGGTTCTCGGACTTTCATCCCTTTCACCTCAGCACAAAAGACCTCTTCTGGGGTAGAGGCGAGTCTCAAAGGACCACCTGGAACTTGTGCTTCAGGGCCCAGGCAAGCAGGATGCTAGAGGCTATCTGCTAAAGCCATGGTTCCAGAATCTTCCAGGCAGATGGACTCCTCAGGAGGCTGCAGAGACCTTGATGCGGCTGTACTGGACGCCAGAAGTGCTCTGCCTATGGCCAAAGCCCAGGGCGAACCTGTCAAGCAGAGTGAATAGAATAAGAGGGGAGCAGGGCCTGGGGGCTTTCCCTGGGAAGAAAGGGAGTGGCGCAGCGCCTGGGACCCCCAGCCCACCCTGACCTTTCCTGCTGCCTGCCTTAATGTGCATGTCCATTTTCTACATTACCCAGCTGCGCATCTTGGTCTCCCTGTGTCTGTCCTCATCTTCACGTGACCCTGGGGACCCCGACACTCCCCTTGGCTGCAACCACATCCACTCCAGTGGGGGAAGCTCCCTGAGGACAAGGGTCTTTTCCATCTTATTCTCAGCCATATGTCCTATGGCCCAGAACACTGCCTGGCACATAGTAGGGACTTAAATACCCACTGCATGAGTCAGCCCACAGTTCTTTGTGTGCAATTTTAAAAGGCCACAGTTATAATGTTTTGTTTCTCTGAGCTTCCATGACTCTCAGATTCTCTGGTTTTAGGATTCTACTATTCTGACCTCTCGTGAGTCCATAATTATGTGATTTAAAATGTCCTGTGAGCTGGGCTTATAGTCAAATGAAACTCTGCTGTAGGAAGACACAAAACAACTCAAAGAAAACAGCTCCTGTATGAAGACAGGCTAAAACGCAGTGTCCAGGCAGGGAGAGCGATAGGAAGAGAAGAAAAACACTCTTTCGCAAAGGGGAGGGTTAAGTTCCTGCCGCAAAGTGCTCTGGGTTGGATGGGACAATTCCCGGCACGCCCCGTCCCCCTTACCGTCTCCTCTGGAATTGCTGGTCTATTTCTGCCAACGACTGGCCCTTGGTTTCAGGGACAAATAAATAGATGAAGCCCAGGCCGAGGACAGCAGTCAGCCCGTATAGCAGGAAGGTCCAGGACAAGCCGATGGTGCCTGGGGACAGGAGGGCGGGAGTGTGGGCCGGGGCGCAGCCAACTAGCTGGTTCCAGGTTGAGCATCGAAAGTCAGTTCACCCAAAGCAGAGTCTCAGATAGTGAATTTGCAGAACAACCAACAACTGTCAGGTAAGTAAGTACCTTAAAGCAGGACTAGGACTTGTTGTCCCAGAGGCAGGCAAAGGGCCAAGGTTCAGACCCACATGCTGACAAGGGCATCTTGTCTTTATGGAAAAGCCCACTTACCCACACCTAAAACATTAACCAGTGTTGTGCGCTCAGAATCTGAAAACATGAACAGAAGGGAAATAACGTTCACCTTGGCAGTAAAACAACTGCAGGATGCAGCCTTGGCAAAGCCCAGCTCCGGGAAAAAGAAAAAAAAAAAAGATAAAAAAATCCTCAGGTGTTCCATGAACTGTTTTTTCAGTAAATAAAGCATTCAGGGAACTGAGGTTCAGCCAATTTGGGATTAGTTTGGGAGAGAAGACAAAATCCTCAGCACCCCAACCCCCGCCTCTTAATGGAGACTCAGGTGGGGGTCAGGGTCTCAAGGCCAGCCACCAGGACCACCAGGGATGACCCTGACTCCTCTGAAGTCAGCCCGAGAGAAAGAAAGAAGGCTGTGAAGGAAGAGACCGGAGGAAAAGCGCAAATGATGTTTCAGATGCCACTCTCCACTCTAAACAGCCTTAGCCACACCTCCTCCGAGGAGTCTTCCTTGATCAGCCTGACCTCACTTCATCCTTATAGCAGCAGAGAGAGAGCTGGGCTGGGAGTCAGAAGGGCTGGGTTCTGATCTGCTACCTGACTGGACTTGGGAAGGATGTATTTCCCCATCTATGAAACGAGGATGATAAGGATAGGATACAATTCTAATAAATAATTCTAATAAACCCCTTCTATCGTTCCTGCTACTCTCTCACTGGCTCGTTCATTCCACATAAAGAGAATGCTTGAAGACCGAGGCAGCAGGGAGAAGCCCGGAGTCCCTAAGACTGGGGGTGGGAGACAGGTACGGTGGGCAGATTATTCTACCAGGGTTTCCGCCCAGGGGTGGCTGTACCTTTGAGGGAGAAACGCCTGGCTGCAGGAAGTAGGAAAAGAACTGAACCCTAAGAACCGTGCCTTGGGGCCCACAATGAAGAAGCCCTGCCCACTGTGGCCCAAATGACCAAGGGCTACCAGTGACCTTGGGTCATGAGCATCTGAGCATCTCAGAAACCCTTCCCCAGTGTTCTGGGCCCATATGATTCCCACCCCATCCCAGCCCTGCTCAGACTGGGTTTGAACGCTAGGTAGAAGAGATGATAGCACCTAAACTAGATCAGAAAAAAACTTCCTGCTGGCAGGTGGGCATGAGCTGGCTTAGAACAAAAAGAAAAAGCTGCAGCTTCCATGCCCACTGGTCTCTGACAAGCTCTCACCAGTGCTGGTGTGGACTAGCACCTGTTGTGCAGCCTGGAGAATTTTACAGCATGTCTGGGGGTCCTGGATGTGGTCAGACACTTCCATGGACCTTCTGCACAAAGTTGTATGTGAAGAATAGTTCTGCTGCAAATAGAAAATATTTTAAAACTCTCCTGCTTTACTCCTGGCTACAGAGAAGAGACTAGATTTGGGGGTGCGAGGCAGAGGCCCACACTCAGGTCTCTATCTGGAGTTTGTTCCCCTCCCCCCACCATACCAATCAGAGATGACTCCTGGATGAGGAAAAGTGAATACTTCAGTTCTCCTTCAGCCTCTACCCCCAAATCATCAATCAAGCCAGCCCATTCACTGAGGCCCTGGAATGAGGTAGACGCCTCACAGATCATATCTTCTCTTGTTTTTGTCTCTCAGCCTCTCCTCTGTCTTTTTCTCCTAGCAGCACCCCAATTTTCCTTTGGAGGATGACTCCCCTCCAACTTGCGGTGGTGGTTGAGTAAGGCTGTCTCCACCCTCGGGCTCCAGGGTGGGGTATCTGCCCGGTGAGGGAGGGATGAAGACAGTCCTTCAGCCACAGTGATTGGTTCAGGGATGGGCATGTGATCTTGCTGAGCCAATCAGAAGCAGTCCCAGGATTTGAGCAAGAGCCACGGGGAAAGCAAGTTCTCCTTCCACGGGGGAGTGTCAGGCTGAAGAGCCGTCTTCAGCATGAGGCGTCTGCCTGAGAAGGAAGCCCACGGCGTGGGAGGCAGAGTGGAGAGAGACGAAAGAGGGCCGACCATTTTGTTGAAGGCTCTGGATCAGCCTTGCTTGAATCCAACCACCCGCCTTGTTTCAGTGATTTAAGACAAAGTAGTCCCTTTTGTTCATCAGTTGGTTTGCATTGGGTTTTCTGTCACTTATAACCCGACAGATAAGGAAGCCCTGGCCCTTGTCAGGAGGAAATTGTTCCTAAGGAACTGGACCAAAATATTAGGGCAGAGGACTCACCGATGAGGTCAAGGAAGGAGAGGCTGATGAAGAGGTTGGCGGCCCAGTTGAAGCTGTTGCAGAAGGCAAAGGCCCTCCCTCGGATCTCCACGGGGTAGATCTCGCTGAGGACAAGCCAGGTCACTAGGACAGGAGAGCAGGGAGGGCTCCTAGGCTGCAGCCGGGACCCGGGGCCGGACACCCACAGGCCAGCAAGCAGCCTCCCATCGGCGTCATTCAACCAATGTCGGTCGGGCTCCTGACACCAAACCTCCCCAGCTGCTTCCGCCACGTGGCTGGAAGAGGCCCTTTAGAGTGATCAACAGTCTCAGTTTCCCCAGGATGAGGGGTTTCTGGGACGTGGGACTTTCAGTCCTGGGCAAACCAGGATAGTTGGTCACCCTATTCCTTAAATTCAAGTAAAGCCTTTGAGTGAATTATCCATGAGCAAATGTGGGTTCTATGAGGCCCGAAGCTTGAAAGATTTGGGGGCCTTTTTAAAAAGAAAATAATTACTAACATAAAATTAGGTCCCTGCCCTGGAAAGGAATGCCTGCAAATAAGGAGGAGCCCTGAAGTTTAAGTTTCACTGGTTTCATGGTCAAGCGACTTCTAGTGTCCCTCCGAGACCCTGCCGGACACAGTTCACCAGCTTCCCGCTAGGAGGGGTAGAAGGCTCAGTTACCGCAAGAAACTCTCACCTACCTGGTCCAAATCCAAAGGAGAAGGCACTCACAAAGAGCATCATACAGACCAGTGCTGTCCAGTGCAGCAGGGCACGCTCTGGGGCAGGAGAAGGGGGTGCAGAGGAGGCTGTGCCTAGGGCTGGCAGGGGAGGGGCTGTGGGCTCCCCAGCTCCAGGACTAGGCTTTGTTTTCTTAGAGGTTGACAAGACTGGCTCCCCTTGGCTCTTGCTGGTTGTTGGCAGAGGAGGTGGAGATACGCTGATGGGCAGGCCAGAGTCTCCAGGGAGGCCTGACAGCTTGGTGGCATTGGGCGTGGCCAGGCAACTTGGGCCTGAGTCCATGGGCACAGCAAAGCTGACGAGGCCTATGCCGCTGACCGACAGGGCCATGAGGGCACAGCCAGCTAGTAACAGGGCTCTGCGGCCGGCTCGGTCCACCAGCCCCATGGCAATCAGTGTAGCCACCACCTTCACTGCGCCAAGCCCCACAGAGGCCAGCATCGCTGAGGCTCCCCCCTGGAAGCCGACCGAGTGGAAGATGGTGGACGCATAGCACAGCACATTGGGCTGCCCTGTTAGCTGCTGGAAAAGCACCAGCCCCAGCCCCACAGTGGTCCGGCCTCGCATGTTATCCCGTGCCCTGAAGAGGTCCAGAAAGGAGTACCTTGGCCTTCCCAGGCCCAACTTGGTGGCCTCACCTCCCTGGAGGGGGATGAGGTCCTTGGGGGCTGCCGTCTCATCGGCACCAGCAGGAAGGAAGAGGAGGCTGAGGGACTGGAGGACAGCAGGTGCAGCGGCCCAGCCAAACATATGCCTCCACCCCCGGGGGGCACTGGCCAGCGCGTAGTTCAGTGCATAGGAGAGCAGGATGCCCACGGTGATGCCTGCCTCATAGAGAGACACCAGCACTCCCCGCTGCCGTGGCCCCACCAGCTCTGACACGTAGATACAGCAGGCCATGGATGAGAGGGAGATGGCGAAGCCAGCCGCTGAGCGGCCCAGGACCAGCCAGGCCAGGGAACCAGCCAGGCCCAGGCTCAGGCTGCCTGCCAACAGCACCAAGTTGCTCCCGAGGATGGCTTGTTTCCTGCCGTAGCGGTCAATGAGGAAGCCCCCTGCCAGGGAGGCGAGGAGCGCCCCCAGGAGCAAGCTGCCCACCAGGAACTCTTGCTCCAAGCAGCTTAGCTCAAAGTCAAGTTGCAATGGCAGCAGGGCACCTGAAATGACTGCCAGTTCATAACCAAAGGTCAAGCCACCCAGCAAAGACACAGAGGCACACAGGGGCAGGCGGGGTGGGGGATGGCCTGGAAAACAAAAGCGAGAGTAGTCAAGTTCAGAATGGTTCCTTGCCAGAGCACCTGTCCATCCAGCCTCGTCTCCATCTGTCAGCCCCTCCCTCTATCCATCCAGCTCCTCCATCCATCCACCGATTCATTTGTTCATGCATCCACCCACTTCATTCACTCACCCACCCATCCATCTGCCCTTCCACCTACCCATTCATCCATCCATCCATCCATCCATCCCTCCAATCATTCAAAAACTTATTTATCTGGCATCTACAACACACCAGGCAGTATTTTTAGGGCTGGCAATTCAGTGATGTTATCAAGGACCTGACATTCTAGTAGAAAAAGGCAGATGATAAACAAATAAATATAAAACTTCAGGTGGTGATGGGTATCATTTAAAAAAAAAAGCAGGGAAAGGGGATTGAAAGTGACAGAGGAGTTCTGTTTTAAACAGGGTAGTCAGTTAAGGCCTGTCTGAAGAGGGGAACTTTGAGCAGAGATCAGAAGGAAGTGAGGGTCAAAGCCATGTAAAATCTGGGAGAAGAACATTCTAGACAGGAGAAACAGCAAGAACAAAGGCCCTGAAGCAAGTACGTTTGAACAATAACTATTAATATGAATAGCTAGTGCTTATATGGCACTTACCAAGTGCCAGGTCCTGTTTTAAGACCTTTCCATGTATTTACTCATTTAATTCCTACAACAATCCTATACCATATTATTATTAGCATCATCCTCCAAGGCTCAGACCAGTTAAGAATCATGGTCACACAGCAAGTAAGTAAGTGGGAGAGCTGATGTCGCTAGGGAGTGCAGGCTTTTAATCACTGTGCTATTCAGCAAGGAGGCCAGAGAGGCTGGATCGCAGGAGTGACAGTGAGAAGAGAGGGTGACGGAGGAGCAGGAGGCAGGGCCAGACCATGTGGAGCTTTGTAGGTCATGAGGACAAGGATGAATTTCATTGTCAGTGGGTGGAAGCCTTGGAAGGCTTGACCTGGGGAGAGAGGTGATCTACTGTAGTCACCAGCCCATGTGGATATTGAGCATTTAAAACGTGGTGAATGGGATTGAGGAACTTAGTTTTAAATTTTATTTAATTTTAGTTAATTTGAATGTAAAACTAGCCACATGTGGCTAGCAGCCACCATATCAGCAGTGCCATTATACAGGTTACTCTTAATTTTTAATTTACACACTTAAACTTCAATATTTCTGGAAGCATCTAGAGTAATCCAGCAGTGTCTATCTCACCCCAAGCTAAGCATGACATTGACATCCCAGGCCCTTTAGCTGTCCCCAGCCAAACCACCAGGACCTGACAACAACATTCAGAATGCTATAATCAGATTTATTCAGCGTTTTCTCTGGACCAGGCACTGCTTTGAATGCTTTAAGTGCCAAGAACGCATTTAATTCTCACCACAGCTTCATAAGGTGGGTGTTTGTATTATTTATGAATGAACACACTGATAATCAGAGAGGTGAAGTGACTTGCCTAAGGTCTAAAGTAGTCAGTAGCTGTGCCTAGATTCACAGCCAGGTGGTCTGGCTCCACAGTCCATACGCTTGACCACTCCATTAGAAAACCTTGGCATGATATGATTTCTCTCTGTTCTCTCTTATTTCTGCCTCTCCCCATCTCTGTTAGGCAATTTTTGTGCAGGGAGAAAAGTTTCGTGGGTGGAGAAATGACACTCCCCTGTTCTGCTCACCCTTCTTCCCACCATCCTCACCCCCCCAGAGAAACAACCCCCCTACTATTGCCTGGCTGGCCTTGCCCGAACTGTTCACGGCCATCAATAAACACCCTGGGGTCCTGCCCCATCTTCACCTCCCTCTGCTCCACTTCCCTCAGTTCTTGGACTTTACTGCCAGAAAGGAAGGTTCTTTCAGGCCATGTGAGGCAATCAAGTGAAATGGTTGTTTACCTACCTGGAGCAGCTGGAGGCCATCTTTCCCAAGAGGGATTCCTGATGGCACTGCCTGAGTTGCTAGGCCCATCTGTGCTGGAAGCCATGAACTTTTCAGCGGCCAATAAATTCCAACCCCCGCCCCCCATTTTTTTTAAGCTAGTTTGAGGGAGGCCCCTCACTAATTCCTCAACTTTCCAAGCCACATTTTCCACTTCCAGCCAACTCTGCATTCTCCCCTCCATTGGCTCACACCCTGTCATGAGTTTGCTTATGTGTCCTCCTTATTAAACTGGACAGGACAGGACAGGATGGAGACTTACTGTCTCTGTGTCTCCTGAGACCTAGGTTTGCCCCAAGAGGGGCTCAATGAAGTTTCCGCAGAGCAAACCAATGACTGAGTCTGGGACCAGGATGGTATCACCATGGGCATTCCAAGGGCTGTGGCAGGGGCATTCGAACCTAATGCTACACAGCAGCCAGAGGCACCCTGTGAAAGCCTCCGTCAGACCATGTCGTTTTGCCCAGAGCCCTCCAAGGCTTCCTCTTCCCTCTGAAAAGCCCCAAGTCCTTACCGTGACCTTGAAGGCCCTGCAGGCTCTCCTCCCACTCAGCTCCTCGCTCTTCTGCCTCACTCCAAGCACGTGTCAACTCAAGGCTTCTCACCAGGACTTGGGGCTTTTCAGAGGGAAGAGGAAGCCTTGGAGGGCTCTGGGCAAAACGACATGGTCTGACGGAGGCTTTCATAGGGTGCCTCTGGCTGCTGTGTAGCAGTAGGTTCGAATGCCCCTGCCACAGCCCTTGGAATGCCCATGGTGATACCATCCTGGTGGCTGTCGCCTCTGCTGGGGAAGCCTTCCCCTCCATTCCAAGGGGTCCTTCCCTCCCTCCCTTAGGTCTTCACTCAAGCATCACCTTCTCTTGCTCTCTACTTAAAATTGCAACCTCCCCATAGCATCCAGCCCTTTCCTGCTTGTTTTTCTCCATGGTACTTATCATCATCTGAAATACCCATATATTTGACATATTTATTGGCCTCCCCTCCAGAATGTCAGCCCCAAAGGAACAGGAATTGTTTGTTTGTTCAGCTGACTCCCCGATGCTGAGGATAGCTCCTGGCATCTAGTAGGCACTCAATAAATACGTGTTGAATAAATGGATGATCAAATGAATTAATTAATGAATGAACTCTGAGGATGTAGAGAATCCAGGCAGAAAGGATCTTGGCTCTTGAGCACGTGGCAAGGTCCAGGGCCTAGAAGTTGCCATGAACAGGAATAGAGCAAATCCTGGCCTCCAAATTAGGACTCTGGAGCCAGAGCTGGAGTTGGTCACCAGTTGTGCCATTACACTGTGCCTGAGAAGCTAGGGGTACAGTGATTAGATGCAGACTAGAGCCAGGGTACTGGGATTCTATCCTAGCTTCTCACACAGCTGTGTGACTTTGGGCAGCTCACTTAACCATTCTGAGCCTCCCCGTCTATAAATGGGTGTGATAGTAATACCCACCTCATATGCCTACCTAGCTTATAGCCACTGTTAGTTATTATGATTCTCCACAGAACAACCCAGTGAGTTTTTAAAGCACAGTTCAGGTCATGCCCCACCCCAGCTTCCCATGTCATTTGAAATCAAATCCAAACTTCTCACTTTGGACCACAAAGTGTTACAGAATCTAGCCCCTGACTACCTCTCTGACCTCCCTTCCATTGCTCTCCCCTTGCCCACCGTGCTCACCCATCCTGGCCTGGACCACACCAGCTCACTCCTGCCTCAGGGCCTTTGCACTTGCTGTTCTTGCCTCACTGGAAGCTCTTCTCCCAGATGTCAGCAAGCCCACTTCTTTTGGGTGATATCTGCACCCGATGCCTCCTATTCTGGGAAGCCCCGCCCCGCCACCCCTGCCTACTTACCTAAAGAACCTGCCTCCCTCATCACTGTCACACCACCTCCTTTTATGTGCTCCACAGCACCTTATCTCTCTTTGAGATTATTTAACTAATTTACTTGTGTATCCAACTTCTCACCTAGGCTGTCAGCTCTATGAGAGAGAAGAGCATGGACTGTTGTTCATCACTGAGTCCCCAGCCTTTAAAACAATGTCTTCCACACAGTAGGTGAATGAATGACAGAGTGACCCTTTGAGGCTTCTGAATCCAGAAAGAAACACAGAAACTTTGGTCCCTCTGTAGCAACAAAAACATTCCCTCCCCCCCCCACCCCCCACCCCCTACAGTTCTGCATTCTAATCTTCTCTGTCTCCCCTCTGCCAAATCATCTCTAGAGCACAGGTTTTGTATGTTTTGTTCACAGAGGCATCCTCCGGCCAGCAGAGCAGAGGGGTTCGGTGAACTCAATGTATTTGCGCCTTGTGGAACCTCTCTTTCTTCATCTGCAGAATAGGGGCCATTTCACTTGCCTGGGGCTTGTCTTAAGGCTTAAAGCCGTCAAGAGAGGGCCTGGCCCCGAGTGAGCGCGCAGTATCAAGTAAGGAGCACTCTCGAGTCACAATTTTCTGGGCAGAAAGGAGCATGGAAGGAAGTGCGCCTAAGTCCCTTCCCAGCCCAGGCCTGGCTTTCCTGGCTCGCCACCCGGGTAGGCGGTGTCTGGTCCTAGTGTGAAGCAGGGGGCGGAAGGCGCATGCATTGATGGGATCTCGGGGGGCTCCCCAGCGGACAGCGCCCGATGACAACTTACCCATGGCGAGCAGGACAGCGGGAGCTGGAGGCCTGGGCGCGCATCCCCTGGCCCAGTCGCCGCCTCGGCCCCAGGACAAACTTTCTAGCCCGCCTCTCCCCTCTGTCCCTCCCTCCCCGTCAGCCCGCCCCGCAGCGCTGCTGCCACGTCCCTGGAGGCGGGACAGAGGGGCACCAGGACCGCCCCTGCCTGCCCCCCACCCCACACTGACTCCCCTCCCCAGGGTCCTGCCGATAGTCATCCCCTTTGTTCGGGAGGGCCCCATGCTGTCCTCCCCCCCCCGGAAGGAGACTCCCCAATCACTGCAGTACACACACACACACACACACACACCCCTCCACTGACTGGGACACACACATACCCACTTCAGCGGCTCAGACACTCTCCACCGGCTCACCCTCCATTCACTGGACACTTAGGTATGGACACCTCCCGCGTGTGGGTGCCAGGCATTTTGGATGGGCTGGAGGAACAAGGGAAACAGATTTGCTTATTCTTGTGCTGTTTGCTTTCCAGTGAGGGAAGGAGAAAGTTAAATAGCCAGAGAAATACCGGCTAGTGATGAAGGCGAGGCTGCTGGGGCAGGCAGGCACAGGTGACTGCTTTAGCTCTGCGGGCTGGAAAGGCTGCTCTGAGGAGGGGAAACAGGAGTTGAGGCCTCAGGCTCCAGGCAGAAGGAAAAGCAAAGGCAACAGCCCTGTGATGGAAGAAGCCTGAGAAGTAGAAAGAACAACAGAAATGAAACCAGTGCCAAGCCCAGGGCGTAACAGTGAGAGTGGAGGGAGATGGGGCCCAAAGGAGCTGTTGGCAAGCGCCAGATCACTGAAGACCTTGAGAGGCCAGCGTCAGGAATGCAGATTTGAGTCCATCTGACGTAAGAAATAATTGGGTTCTAGCAGGTTATACGGAGCAAGGGTGGAAATAGAGAGCCTTTTGCAGGGGAGAGATGGAATTGATTTGGACTCAGGTGGTAGTTGGGGGTTGGAGGAGAGTAGGCAGATTGGAGTAGACTCCATAAGGATTTACAGATTGAAAGGGGAGCAGCTGGGGGTGGGGAAAGGAACTCTATTGCTCCCATCGGGCTGTGTGACATTTAAGGGGCTCATTAGGCACCCATGTAGAAACAGGTGGGCCAGTTGATGGGAGAGTTGTGAGTTCTGGAAAGGAGACAGGCTGGGGATACCCCCCCTGATTCTCACTCTCAAGCAAAAACACATATACAAGCTCAGCATGCACGTGGCCGCAGGCTTATCTCACTGTGTGCCCTTACACAGACACATTAGCTCGCATGCATCTCATCCCCTCGTCCAGCCGAAATCGTGTGTCACAGACACAACCAGGCGTATCGGCAAAGAAGACAGCATCGGCAAGACCTTCTGAGCCAGGGGACCCTTGTACCGCTCTGAAAATAATAACGGCTGAGGCAGTTTGAAAACATGGCTCCAAAACTCTTTGTTCCCTCCCTTGAAATCTAAGTGAGCTTGTGACTGCTTCAACCAGTAGGTTGCACAGAGTGGTACACTGCGTGACTTCTGAGGCTGGGTCATGGGGACACTGGTGCCTGGAGCCCCGAGCCTCTAGAAAGACTCTGCTGAGGCCGCCATGCTGTGAGGAAGTCCAAGGCACAGAGAGGGGCCGGGTGCGGATGCTCCCATGGGCCATCCTAGCCTTGGAGTCATCCCAGCCCTGGCTCCAGGATGAGCCTTCAGCGATTCCAGCTCCCAGTGTCACATGTTCCCAGTAGAGGCCCCTGACCTTGAGGAGCAGAGATAAGCCATCCCTACCTTGCCCAGTCGTGGGTTCCCGAGACACACGTTCCATGAGTACAGTGAAATGGTTGTTTTAAGGTGCAAAGTGTTGGAGTAAATTGTTATGCAACAACAACAACCGGAACAATGGTTTAAACTATTGAGTGATAATTATACCCTTTGATTTAAGCACTTTACATGTATTAGCTCACTGTGAACCCTCACAACTACCTAATGAAATAGGGACTATTACAACCCACACCCATCTGATGAATGAGGAAACGGAGGCAAAGGGCAGTGAAGTAAACTGATTGCATAATAAACAAATATACAAGCTAAACAGAGCTCAAAGACACACATGAGTATATAGCTGAGCTGGGAGTCAAGCTCATTTATGGGGAAACTGAGCACTTACCCATCACATTCTTGCTGCCTTTCTGGCATGGTGAGGAACCCAAGGAGGCCTACTGGCCATTACCACCTTCATCTACGAGTGTCTAGTATTGTCACCAGGAGGCCTGGTACAGCAGGGCCTGGGCTGTCCCATTCCTGTGAGATAACCGATAGAAGTGACACGATGGAAATGAGCACGAGGCCTCTAAATCTTCTTCGATCTCTGTGGCTCGCATTAAATCATGAGGATGTTCGCAGGCTTGCTGTCGGGTTCTCTCTCTCCTAGAGAACAGAGGATCCCTCTTCATTTGTTGCCCCAAATGAGAAGGAAAAAGTTCTAACCGGGCATTTTGGGTAGCTGCTTCAAAAACGGCTTCCCTTGAGGGTGGGCACGACCTAGTGACTCGTTCCTAACAAATAGAAGACAGCAAAAGCGATGATGTCATTTTAGAGATTAGGTTATAAAAGATGCTGATTTTCATCTTGCTCACCCTTTCCTGATCTCTCACTCATTCACTCCAGTGATGCCACCTGCCAGGTTATGAGTTGCCCGACGGAGAGGCCCATCCAGCAAGAAGTGAGGGGGACCTCCAGGCAAGAGCCAGCGAGGAACTAAGGCCCTCAGATCCACAGCCCATGAGAAACAAAATCCTGCCATTACTCAGATAGTCATACGTACAAACAAAAAAGACAGTCTGTGACAATGCAAAAGAAGAGAGGCTCATAGGAACGCCGGAGCTTCTAAAAGTTAGATCCCCCCCCCCTTCTGAGAAGTGAAAGAAGGCGTCCCTGAGAAAGTGACATTTGAGCTGAGAATGGAAGGATGTCTAGATGGGGTCTAGGCAACGAAGGGAGGAAAGAACACGTGGGAAACAGTAGGTGCAAAGGCCCTGTGGCAAGGGGGAGCCTGGCAAGAATGAGAGGCTGAGAGGAGGCAATTGTGTTTGCCGATCTGGGCAAAGGCGGAGTTTTGCAGATGAGTCTGGAAGAGGGGCATAGAGGTCCCATGCAGGACCTCACAGGCCTTTATCCTAAGCACAGTGGGGAGCCATTGAAAGATTTTAAACCAGGTTTCCTACCATAGAAGCCAGAGCTGGTCTGACCATAGCAAGCCTGGGATTTGTATATATGTTTGCACAATGGATTTCCCCAACGTGGGGTTCAGGCAGATGGGGTAACCACAGAGATAGAAGGCTAGGTAGACGCTAACAATTATGATAATGAAGCCACACACTTGGGAAACTGGACGTTATAAATCGAGCTGGTTGTGGGCGAGCTTTGAGTCGTCTGGGCCGATGAAAGGGGCTGGAAACCACATTATGCCAACAGAAAGGGTCTGATGTTTGGAAAGGTGACCTGCCAGTGTTGTATGGATGAAAATGCTGAGAGTTGGCGTCATAGCAACCTTAGGACCAAAAGGTCGTTCTTCAGTATCTCAAACAGGGTCCCAATGATGGGAGAAGGAAAATAAACATATTAAAAATAAACATGCCCACCAGGCACCCTCACCAGCAACATCTTACTTAATTTTAATAAACACTTGCCAAAGTAAAACTAATTATCTTCCTTCTGAAGATGATGGAGCTGAAACTCAGAGAAATTATGTTCTTTGTTCATCACCCAAGTGTGACAGGAACTTGTGCGGCCTCCTCAGTGGCAAAACTCCAGGAAAGACCTGAGATTCCGGAAAAAGGTTTTCGCGAGAAGGTACCGCAGTTTTCAGGGAAAAGCCGAAGAGCTGGAAGGCGGGGCTACAACAGCCTTGCCGAAGGGCTTCGGGGAGAGCCGAAAGGCTGGGAGGCGGAATTGCTTCCGCAGAGCGGAAGTGTCGGCGCTCTAGTGGCCGAAGAGGGCCGAGGATTTCCGGAACTTGCCGAAACGACTCCGACAGCTTCCGGAGAGAGCCGAGGGGGGCCGAGCGGCGGCGCTGAAGGGCGATCATGGCGGCGGCCGGCTCTGCTGAGGCAGAGGTGAGCGAGGAGCTGGCGTCGGAGGCCGAGCTGCTGGCCGCTGCTCGGGAGCGAAGCAGCCGCTTCTTGAGCAGCCTGGAGCTGGTGAAGCAGGGCGCCGAGGCGCGCGTGTTCCGCGGCCGCTTCCAGGGCCGCGCGGCCATGGTGAAGCATCGCTTCCCCAAGGGCTACCGGCACCCGGCTCTGGACGCGCGGCTCAGCCGGCGGAGGACGGTGCAGGAGGCCCGGGCGCTGCTCCGCTGCCGCCGCGCAGGTAACGCAGCCGGGCTCGGGGGCACGGGGAGGGGACGAGGCTCCAGAGCCCCGTGCCGTCTGCGCGGCCTTGGGTGTTTAAGCCATGCCATCCTTTCATACCTGTTTTCATTCACTGCTTCTTAAGGAGCCGCTTGTCCTTGGAGCGGCGAGCGCTTGTCCTGAAGCCGTTGCGCCTGGTTCAGTTCCCGGCTCTGCCACTGCTGCCCGCATGTTGAGGACGTATTTAATCCCCGAATCTCGGGTTCCCCGTTTGTACGGCCTCAGTGTTTGGTCATTCTCAGTTCATAACTTTAAAAAAGCAGATGTACTTCCAAGTACCTGCCCTGGAGCCAGGCTCTCGGGGTTCAAATACCGACACGTTATGGAACCTGTCAGCCTGTTCCCTCGCCTGTAAAGGGAAGTCGTAGTTGCAGTAGTTGCCTCCTAGGGATAGTGTGATCATGAGGGGGGTATGTATGCCATGCATTACATTTGAATGTATGACTGGCACATAGCGCTTAATAGAGTTATATTTCATTAGCTCGCTTATTTTTTTCATTAAAACTGCCTTGTGGGGTGACCCGTTAGCTCAGGTGGTTAGAGTGTGGTGCTGATAACGCCAAGGTTGCTGGTTCGATCCCCGCATGGGCCACTGTGAGCTGCGACCTCCCTAAAAGAGTCAACTGTGCCATTGTAGCCTGCAAGCAGTGTGCAACCAGTGGCCGTGGCTGTTCCCCAATACAATTAAAAAAACAAAGGAAAACACATTGTGCAGACTTGTTCTCAGATGAGAAACGGAGGCTCAGAGAGAGGCAGTAACTTGCCCAAGGTTACACAGCTAGTTAGTGACCCAGCCAGGTTCTCAGCTCACATTCCCTCTGACTCTGAAAAACTGGCTTTTTCACTTTTACACTTCCGACCTTCTTTTTTACTTTGGCATTTTTTTGGCACCTGTGTACACCAGGACATTGTTAGGCACTTGGAGAAACGGAGGAAATTCAGTAGTGAACAAGCAAACATAGCTCTCGCCTTGCTTGGATTTAGTGAATTTATTTGTGTGTTAATAGTTTCCTTTTTTCACCCTCCCTGGGATGTAGGTTTCATTAAGCAGGGATTGTGACTGCCTTGTTTCCTGCTGTATTCCTGCTGATATGTTCCCAGTATCCAGAAAAAGTGTCCTGAGCATGATGGACATTCAAAAAAGATTCATTAAATCATTGGAAGTATTCTTCTCATGTTTTAGAAGCAGAAATGAGAAATTAATGTGACTTTAAGGCTATACAACTGTTGACAGGGTATAAATGAATCAGGAACCTTTGTTAAAATTAAAAATGACAAAGTTTTATTCAAGGTTCTTAGAATTTGCAAATTGGAAACATTATCAGGTAACATCCAGAATGTTCTGAAGAAAAGAGAAAAGTTGAGAGTTCTTACAGTAAAAAGTCCATTTTTGAGAAGAATCAGTCCTATATTCTTAGCCTCTGGATTGGTCCAAGATGGTAATCTTCTAGATGACCAGTGATCTGAATCATGGATGTCAGGCTGTCTGGTTATATATACTGGTGGTGCCAAAAAAATGTATACAAGTAGACACTTTGGTCATTGTTGCTCAAGCAGTAGATTGCCATCATCAGAAGTGTCTGGACGCTGATGGGAACCACTTTGAGCACCTCTTGTAATTGCAAAAGTCAAACGTGACTTGTGTTCATCTTTTGCTATCGTTATATATTGAGTATTACAATTTTAATAGTTTTCCTTTTTTTAAAATGTGTATACAATACATTTCTTTGGTACCCTCTGTATATAATCTCCGTCTATTGATTGATGCACAACTGAAAAGCTCAAAAGTTTAAGTCCTCAGGCTAGTTAAAGTAAAATCCATTCCTCGTGCTCCAGCCCGTCTGGTTTGAACCAGTTTTGTCAGTTTGACTCTCCAGACTCCATATTAAGTCAGCTTAGCTATACCGACTTAATCTTGTTTTCTTCACTCATTCCTCACAATACTAAGGAAGGGAGCTGGGGTTTGAACCTGCCCCTTTGACTGCAAAGATGAATCTCTAAGCCAGACCTCTGCTTGGCCTCCTGTTTGTGTCCTTATCAGGTAGAAATTGCTCTAACTGGGCTATGCTTACCCTTCTGGCTCCTTGTTTTGTTTTGTTTTTTAGGAAATAAGTATGACAAATGAAGTCTCCTCAAAGGGTGGAAAGTAGGCGGGAGCTTTGGCATTACTAAACTCAGCTGTGGGTGGTTTAAGGCACAGTCATGCTGAGCACGAGCAGGGGAAACTTCCAGATGAGTTAAGTTGAACTGTTCTGCAGCATTCCTGAATCTTTTTCCTGAAATAAGCAGATATACACTGTAAAAAAAGCTGGATCAATCTTTGAAAACTTAAGCTTACCATTAAAAAAAAAAAAAGAATCTAATCCAATAACTGCTTATGTCTTGATTGCAGGGATATCTGCCCCAGTTGTCTTTTTTGTGGACTATGCTTCCAACTGTCTATACATGGAAGAAATTGAAGGCTCAGTGACTGTTCGAGATTACATTCAATCCATTATGGAGGCTGAAAAAACGCCCCAAAGCCTCCTGGGCTTAGCCAAGACAGCCGGGCAGGTTTTGGCTCGAATGCACGATGGGGACCTTGTTCATGGCGATCTCACCACCTCCAACATGCTCCTGAAACCCCCCCTGGAACAGCTGAACATTGTGCTCATAGACTTTGGACTGAGTTTCGTTTCAGCACTTCCAGAAGATAAGGGAGTTGACCTCTACGTGCTCGAGAAAGCCTTCCTCAGCACCCATCCCAACACCGAGAGTGTGTTTGAAGCCTTTTTGAAGAGCTACTCCGCCGCCTCCAAAAAGGCCACGCCAGTGCTAAAAAAATTAGACGAAGTGCGCCTGAGAGGAAGAAAGCGGTCCATGGTCGGGTAGAAGAACGTGTGTAACAACCACAGACATTTCAGCTCTTTACTTCAAGGGGAATTTGAGGGAATGCTACCAGTGTGAGATTAGACCGAAATAAAAGTGTTGAGATATTTTTAGTGCTCTGTTCATGCTTGTTAAGTGTCATTATCATCTACAGTCGACTGTTCTCAAGAGCTTACCATGTACATTAAGACATGCTCTAGGCAGAATTGAGTATTTATAAAATACATCTAGGGCAGGCTTACCCCTCAGGTACATGGGCACGGCATGAAAAATATCGAAGCACATGAGAACATTGTTCTCTTCGCAGTCCTGAGGAGATAAAAATGGTCTCAGGTGGTGACAGTATGTCTTTACCAGCCCTATAACCTAGTGTTGTTTTTTATTGTGTTTATGACAAATTCCTTTTGAAACCAGTATAAGCGATATACAACCAGCATTTTAAAAATGACGTAGAATCAGAGACTAGAAAATATCAGAGTGCATTACGTGTAGTATTGTGACTATTGTTTTCTGAGACTTGTTTCAAACGTATATACAGACAAGGGTATGTACTGGGTTTTGATGTGAAATATATTTCCCTTTTGAGGGTCAGTAAAAAAAAAAAATGCTAAACTCCAATTTCTCTTTTTTAAAAAGCGGGCTCATAGCTTTCAAGGCAGTTGAAACATAATTTAATAAACATTGTTTTTATATTTGTTGCTGTGTATTTTTATGGTTACCTTCTAATTAAGACAAGTGATTGATACAAATTTCTTTTTAGTTTGTATATGTAAAAAAAAAAAGCAAGTCAATTTATATCACAGTAAGTAGAGCAAAAACAGTTAAGTGGCTTGGAACTGACTCAAGTGTGATAAAGACTGGCTTAAAGGAAGATGGGGGGTGGAAAACTGAGTTAAGATGCAAAGTGCCGCTAGTTAGCTCACAGTTAACCTTACCTGGCCTCAGTTTCTTCCCACAAAGAAGGTGTGTGTGGGGATATAAAATACCTTTCCTCCTTGAAGCTCCAACTAGCAAGTGAATATTTTGAGTGCCTTCTGCGTGCCTGGTACTGTATTGGGTAGTGGGTACAACAATACGCAGGATGGTGTTGACTGGCAAAAAATAACTCTCCAAGTAATCCACACAAAAAAAGGTTTATTCAGGAAAACAAAAAGAAGCAAGACCCACTAGCACAGTGGGAGAAAGCACACCTCCCGCATGGAGTTCTGACCGGCAGCCCACCTGCAGCAAAAGACTGGTTCCAAGATGGGTAATGCCTTTATTATGATCTCTCCCCCAGAAATTACCATAAGGATAAACAGGAAGTCAGGATTATAGAGTTAACAAGGGGCCCAGCTCCACCCATAGTCCTCCCTACTCGATGGTTAAGCATCTCAAGATGCCAGTTCACTATCAATGGACACGGCACCTGCTCTCATGGAGGGAACATTCGGGTGGGACCGAGACCATGTCTGTTCCCCTCACCACAGCTAGCACCCTGCATGTGGCAGATGCCCAGGAATGAAAGGAAACCGCCCTTCCTGGGCAGTGGTGACTAGCAGAAGGGGGAACTAATTTCAATGCCCGGTTACTACATGTCAGGCATCGTGCCAGGAGTTTTCACTGTGGATCTAAAACAACTCTGTTAGGCGTGGTCCCTGTTTTACAGATGGAGAAACGGGCGCAAAAAGGAGAGGAACCTGTCCAAGATGTCCCAGGCAGCGAGGCGTACTTTCACCTGGCTCCAAAGCCCGTGTTCTTCCCACTGATCTTTTAATAAATGATGTGCTGGATGTGACGCGTCTTTATGTTACTATAATATGTACTGGCTTTATATAACGTTATTCTCAAACATCCCCAAGGGCTCCAGGAACTGGCAGTTTTTTTCCAGTGAGTAGTCTCAACATGACGGGCTCATTCCGCGTCTCCTCCTATGAACTATAAGGCTAATTAAGGCTATTGCCTACCTCGTGGGGAGAAGGACTGGTTGACCCAAGTGTACAGGCATTAAGTCAACGTACAGTGGCACTCGCTAGGTGCCAGGCACTCGAGGTACAGAGGGGACACGAAGGCTATTCTGCTGGGAAACGTTAAGTTCCTAAGACAGTTGCAGACAGCGATGTGTGCCGCAAGGGGTGCTGAGACCCTGAGCTTACCTCCAGGGGAGGCGGAGGGAGGAACTGTCGGGGAAAACCTGGTGAACTGACGTAGGAACTACGATGTGAAGGACACCCAGGAGATGGGGGGTATGTTCCAGGCAGAAGGACCATCACGCACCAAGCTGGTGAAGAGGGGGCATCCTTGAGGGACAATAAGGTCTGTGGCTGGTTTTACTCTTGATGGGTCTCAGGTGGTTCTAAACAGGGAGACAGCTGATTTAGTTTTTGAAAGGATTACATTGGTAGAAAAGACTAAAGGGAGCAGGAACGGAAGCCAGAAACCAGTGACAGGGCTGTGCACCTGGCCAGTGATGATGGTAGCCTGGGGTGGAGGCATTGGCAAGTGTGCTGCAAACTGCTTGGCACCCGTGGTGCGAGTGACATGGTGGCCAGTGGCCGTGGGGGTAACAGCTGCATTTGGGAAGCAAAAATTATCTCCTTTGCAGGCATTGAGAAGAAGAGGGATACTGGAGACGGGAGAAACTTCATAAATGTTCCCAGGAGTATTGTCAGCCTGTGGCCCGTGATGGGAAGTAAGGGATTAACAAACATTCCTAGGCGAGCAGTGGGTTCTGACCCTAGCTCAGTGATTCACAAAGGGCTAAAGGCGCCCTCTGCAATTCCGCACCCCTCAAAGTCCACAGGGGGACAGCTGGTGCTTCGTAGTGATGAGCCAACAGCACTAGCAGCGCTGTGAACTCCCACCTGAACCCTCCCAGACAGGCTGTAGCCCCATTTTACAGATGAGGAAACACTCAGCAATGTGAAATATGTCCAAGGGTCATGATAAGTGACAGAGCTGGGATTCCAACTCCCATTTGTTAACAATGAGTTAACTTGATTGAGCAGTTACTAAGTTCTTTGCATGCATTAACCCATTTTACAGAGGAGGCAACTGAGGCACAGAGGAATTAAGTCTTGCCCAAGGTCACCCAACTAGTGAGTGGCAGAGTCAGGGAAATGTGATGTGACACTGAGATGTTTCCCGGAATATTTGAAAGAGCCTCGTGGCCAGTCCCCGGACCACAGAATGGGCTCGCCCAAGCCTGGCGTAGAGGGCCTCGTACAGGCATGTTCTTGTGACCACACTCACACCGTGTGCTGGCCGAGGGGGTTTGGGGACACCTACATTAATGAGGCACGTGGGGCAGAATCTCTGCTGTAACTAAGAAAGGATACCCTAATCCTGATCCTGGTCCCAGTAGAATTGTATTTACACGAACAGGCAGCCGACTTGTGGGCCATAGTTTGCCAATTTGATTTTTTAAAATATTGCATTAAAACATTTGTTTTGATGATTAGTTTTTAGGTGACCCCATAAATCTGTGCTCTAGTGAGAGCCTCACTCGCCTGGTCCTAGTCCTAACCGTGCTGTCGCTGACTGCTAGAACCCACGTTCTTATGAGGGCCTGCCCCGACCCTCATTTTGGGAACTGGGAATCGCCTCTTCGGGTCCTGAATTCAGGGCACCGCAACTCCAAAGCACCCAGTTCCCCTTTCCCGAGCTCTCTTTTGCCACCAGAGGTCGCAAGTTACTGCCATTCTCTGCTAGAAACTAGAAGCTTCCCTCCTCCTCCACTTCCTTCTCTCCCCTCACCTTTCCTCCGTCCTTCCTCTCTTTCCTTCTCTCCCTCTACCTCTTTCTCCTTCTTCCCTCTTTTCTTCCCACCTCCCTCCCTCCCTTGAACTTGTTCATTTACTCAACCCTTTAGCTGAGCATCTATTTATAGCAGACACCACACTAATCATTCTAGTGAGAGAGAGACAGATGTGGGGATGCCTACTTCCCTCCTGTCTTAATTTTGTCATCCATTCCCTCACTTCTTCACGCATCCATTCATTAGGTATTTATTGAGCACCTTGGCTGTGTCCAGCTCTGTGCTGAGTCCTGAAGAAGCTACCGTGATGAGGGAGTCAGCGGCCACCCCGGAATCCCCCCCTCGTCTTTCCTGGCACTGTTGCAATCCGTGGTTCTCCGCTGCTCCCCCTGTTTCGGCCCTCGCCCCTACATTCTTCCTCACTCAGCAGCCCAAGTTCCCCTTTTAAAGCCAGATGACGCCACCTCTCTTCAGAAGTTGGATGGCTTCCCATTCTATGCTTCCTTGCCTCCCAGTGGCATGGCTCGGGAACCCCTCATTGCACTGTTCTGAGCGGCCTCATTTGTAAAGTGGACAAACTATTGCCTGCCTTGGGAAGCCGTTGTCGTGGGTCACAGTCCCCAGCAAGCAGACTCTGAGATGCAGTTGCGATGCACGTAGCAGGTGTCTAAGGCATGCCCTTGGGATCAGCCTCCACAGAAGGGCAGGGAAGGAGGTGGGGTGGGCAGAGGGAGAAGTGGGGTGGACAGGCAGACCGACTGCAGCCTCAGCTGACCCCACGGGGAGCTATGCAGCTGCAGCAGCTTCCTGAGATGTCCCAACTTGGGTGGAGATGACCAGGCTTTCATAATCCCACATCACCCAGTCATGGTGGGCCACCCTGGGAGGATATGAGCTTGGATGAGACCACTCCCTGCCTGTGACTCGATCCCTGAAGAGGTGACAACTGGAGGCTGCCTGCTGACCATACCTGCCCCCGGGGTAATCAGTCCTTCCTTGAAGGGGGTCTGGGTCACACATGCACACCCACCACAAGCAACGAGGAAATAATGCACGTGGAACGCCGCCACAGTGCCTGGCACATGGTAACCACTAGCTGCTGTTATATAATTTACGTTGCTACCATTTTTAGGGACAACATACAGGCAGTTGTAATACAGTATCGTTCACTCCGCTTACAAGCCCAGGTACGCAGGTGCACTCTCCCACATTGCCGGCCCCAACACCAGTGTCTCTGAATCCAAAGGCATAGGGCTGGGATGAGAATTCTCATTTCTAACATGTTCCCTGGTGATGCTGAGGCTGCTGTTCTGAGGACTACTGCCCTGAGGAAAATCAAGCACAGGAATTGGGTGATGGGAGGGCAGAAACAATAGTGCTTTACTATACCCATTTTACAGTTGAGGAAACTGAGGCTCAGAGATGCTGAGCAATTTGCCTGGTATCATCAGCCTGCAAATGGTAGAGGTTGTGGTAGACATTGTCTGGTGCCTATCGAAAGCCACCCCCTCTTATGTATTTTGGACAGAGCTTCAATTTGTCCAGGTATTTATTAGTGGAAGATGGCGTCATCTCAGAAGCTCAGACTGGTCCTTGATATAGGAGCGGGCATGTGCCTTTTTTCGGGCCAATCAGACACAAGAGGGGAGCTGCACAGTTGCTTCTGGGGAAGATTTTACTTGTAGAAGGTGAGAGGGGTTATGAGGATTCTCTCCATGTCCTGACTCTAACACATGCCCATCAACAACTCCTGCCTTTTGATGCAATGGTGATAATTGGAGATTCAGCAGCCATCTTGAGACCATGAGGCCACTCCTAACGGTAAAGGGTCAATGAGAAGAAGACGACAGAGTAGAGAGATGGGCAGAG